TCGGGAAAAGGGGACCTGCTCTGTAACAAACCGAGGGGACTGATCTACGACACACCTGAGGGGAGCTGGCCCAGAACATGGTTGTGATGGGGTTTGGAACATGTGGCAGGCTCTCTGCGGACTAGGTGCAGATGTGATGAGAGGGGCTCTCATTAATCCATTCAAAGATAGGTGCCAAGAGGATGGTGCCAGACTCTTTTTGGTGGTGCCCAGCAACATGACAAGGAGCAAAGGCCAAAAACCAAAATACAAGAAATTCCACTTCAACATGAGAAAGAATTTCTTGACGTTGAGGGTGGCAGAACCCTGGAACAGCACCTAGGAACTGTGTGGAGTCTCGGGAGACATTCAAGCGTTACCTGGAGGTGTTCTTGTGTCACCTGCTCTGGGTGACCTGCCTTGGCTGGGTGCTGGGCTGGATGGTCTCCAGAGGTCCCTTCCAACCCTAATAATTCTGTGATTCTGCATGGGGTCCAGTTCTGGAGCAGGTGTGGGATGAAGAGCTGTGTGGGACACATGTGGCACAGGGCACACAGGCAAGGACTCTGCTGTGGACCAGAGGCTTGTGCTAGGCCACTCTAGCAGGAAAGGTATCCTGGGCTGGTCCTGTGGGTACTGGGGGTTAGGGTACTCCATGGGGGAAGCCTGTTTCCACAGCCTGGGCACCTAGCAGAAATCTGTGATGGGAGAATGAAGGAGTGCACTGTGGGGAAAGGGGGGGCAGACTGACCATCCTGGCAGAGAAACCCTGGCCAGCACTGCATTATGAGAGGCAGCAGACATGAATTCAGGCAGATCTAACCAAGCAAAGCACTGCACTCAGGTCAGTGTTCAGACACCCAGTAGGTGTGTTTTATTGCAAAGAAAACAAAACCACAACCCTGTTATTTCCAGGGCCAGACACAAGTGTTTCTAAGTGTTCTCCAGCAGCAATCCCGAGCAGTGACCAGGGCTTGCCGTTTGTGTCCAGCAGGAATGAAGGTGCTGAGAATGGCTCAAAGCCTGCCTGTCAGCTTAGACGAGCATCTGAGGCTCTCATAAGCCAGCACAGATGAAGGTGCTTGTTGTGTCTGACTGCTTGAGCTGTCCCAAACCTGCTATGAAGGGTAGATGCGCTCCTGCATGGCTGCAAAGGCAGATGGGAACAGACGAGTTGCTGACGGCCGTGGCTGCAGTGGCACCCTGCTGCAATGCTCTAAGGTCATGCTGCAATAGTCCTCAGGATAAAGTACCTTCATTTCACACCATAGCCTCTGCCAGAGGGATCTTTAAAGTGTATCTTGGATGTATTCTCAAGCTGCATTACATCCTTCACAGCACAATTACTAGGTCACTCCTCGTTGTTTCTTTCCACCCTACATACCCCAAGGCGGCATGCAGGACGCAGAGTCCTAGAACATGTTAGACTCCATGTTACAGGCACAATTCCAGATATCTGGGTGACACCTCGGAGTAATCTGAAGCTTGGTGATCCCAGATCACATCTGGCCACGATCCCACAGAGATGGAGAGCCACTGATCTTGGCTGTGCATCCAGACGATGCTATCGCCGGTGTTCCCCGAGGCACTGCACTCCTCACAACAGCACCTGATGCTCTCTCTGAAGAACCACCTCCACTTCAAGGCAGAGTCCCTGCATTCTAGCTGTGGTCCCAAGGAGCAGAGGGAGCAAGTGGCAGACAAAGCAGGAGGATGGAGGCAAGACCCTGAGTTGCTACCCAGGGCCTCTATACTGGTGACTCCAAGGAATGTCCCATCTCACTACTTTGCAGACAAGGACGTCCTCACAAAAACCACCCTTGACATGCCTGGTACAAGCCCCTCTGCTCACAGTCGAGTCCTGCAGCCCCTCATGAATAAAGCAGGTTATCCTAGGCAAGTCACAGGAAACAAATAGCCAAAGCTAAGAGAAAAGCTCTTTTTTTTCCTTTTTTCTTTTTTTTTTTTTTTTTTAAATTTTTCGTTTCCAACTCCCAACTGCCACCAGGTGTCAGTGCAACCAAACATTTGGCAGATGGAATTATGGTGATGTCCGAGTAGGTGGTAAAGTCTTCCAGGAATTGCTTTGTCTCCTGCATCTACTCTGTTGCCTGGCACACTGCTCTGAGAAGTCCAGCTTTCACAGTTTTTATTAAAAAGAAGTTTAACTACATTAGGGTGATAGAAAAGCTTCCTGTTACAAATGCTAAGACAAAGGTTTTCTTCCTCTTTACATCCTCCCTGTGCAGAGCTGGAAATGCAAACACTGGACAGAGTAAAGTAGGCTACCAACAGCCTCTCTACAGTGCTTCCCAGCCCGCAGGTCCCCGGAGATGACCCGTCTCTGCAGGGCTGGCAGGAGAGGGACAACAGTGCAATCGACTTGACAAGATCAGCCTAGTGCAAAAAAATGATACAGAGAAAAAACAAACTGTAAAAGGACAAAAAGTATCACCAGACTAAAGTGAAATTCTATCAACCAGTAGATTTCTGAAGCTAAACTGGGATCATACAGCCAGGTACACCCTGTCAGAGACAGCAGAAAAGTGTCCTCAGCCTCACAACAGCCACCCTTGAAGTGTCTCTCAGATCACCTGGATGGTCCAGACAGAGAAGAGCATCTCTGGAAAATCCTCCAGGCCACGAGAGGCCAGAAGAGCAAATTAGGAGAACTTGCTAGCTGATTATTGAGCCCACATAGCCTCCTTGGTTTCTTTAAAGTTTGAAGACTTTACATGAGATTGGGAAGTGCTGAGCCCAGCTGGAAGCATTGCTTTATTAGTGCCTTGTTGTTTCTCTAAATTAGGATAGTAGAGAAAAAACAGGGCAGCAAAGCAGCTCTTAGCAGGGATGTGCACCAAGGAAGCGATTTGTGGATGAAATGATTCACATCTGATTGGTGGCATTATCTTTTTAACAGCCACTGGGCATTAAAAACATATTTGATGAGGATTATTTGACTTGGAAAGATTTACACAGTGCAGATGTTTAAAGGCCATGGGCATGCCAGGCCCCGTTATGCTAAGTGCTATAAAAACTCAAATTTTAACTCCATGCTTTAATTTACTCACCATAACAATTTGCATTTAATCCTGTGATTCCCAAAGTGCCTTCAACACAGCCAAGGGACTTGTACAGCTTTACTGCACAGACCCATCAAACTCAGCAGGAGCCATCAGTGAGGTCAGAGAGGGCCATGTATGGCTGTCCACATACATGGACTGCACCCCACTACCAACTGCTGGGGCAAGAGAAGGAACTCTGAGCATCTCTGCAACCCTACCAAGGTACAAAAGGAGCTGATAATTACTGTCTCCTACATAACACCAGGAAAGATATGGAGGCAGGCTAAAACCACTGAAAATTGGAATCTGGATAGGAAACCAAAAGTTATCATCTTTCTTGAATCCCTAATAAACTGGTATCAGAGTGGTCCTACATCGAGGTGATCTGTGATTCAGTTTGTATGCAAAGCGCTACACAAACTGCAACAACAGATTCTTGCACCTTGACTTTAGGCACACGCACCAGGGAGGAACATGCTAGAGGTCTCTATACATACAGTGATAGATTTACAGGCTCAGCATCAGGCTGCACATCTGGGGCCTCTGTATACAAAGGTTCCCTTCAAGACCAAGTGTGAAGCTGCATCTTGCAGGAAGCAAGCATGCAGATCACCACCAGGGAGAGAAGTACTGGTGCCTCTGACCGAAGCAAGTCCCTCAGTCCCTCAGTGACAGAAGAAACAAATGTTCTGGGATTTCAGGCTTGACAGTAGTTTAGGCAGGGCTCAGAGAACAATTACTCATATTCACGTGCCTTTAGCACACATCTTGAGGGAGCTGGAGCCTCAAAGTTGCCTGAGGCATGCCTGAGAAACATTCATTGCAGAGCTCTTACATCCGATTCTCATCTCATCAGAACTGGCTTTTACATTGTTTAAATGCAGTGATTTTATGGATGTTACCCTGATTTATACCTGTGGGGTATTAAATACTTCCAACCCTTACCTCAGGGCAAGATGTTGAAATTGAAACAACAGGATGAGAACATTACTTGTTCTCATTTAAAAAGTTTAAGAAGTTTCACATAGTCTTCATATTTACGACAAAATGACCAACTGAAACCAAACTATCCTGAAAAATAGAACCGGAGTGGAAAAGGCCAGCCAGTTTAAAACTTACACTTAGACAAGGGATATTTTCCTGCTGATTTCCCAGGCTATTGTGAAAGAGGCATGTAAACATAATTTTTGAACAACACTCCAACCTAAAGCACATTTCCATCTAAAATGCTGCACCATGGCACTGAATTTTCTGCAATCAGTCAAGCAAGGGTAAAGTGCTCAAACTTTGCAAGCTCAGCTTGGAGTTGTGGAGCTGAAAAAAGGAGTGGGGCTGTTTGTGGTACCAGGGGTGAAATTAGATGACAGCAGGGAGTGGGGGGTAGGGGTGTTTTCCCCAGATGTAAACATCAGCTCTCATACAATTAGTAGCTGAATGCTAGAGCACTAGAAAACCTGTTTTCACATGGGGAATGCAAACTCTGCCCAGGACATGGATGGAATCTTGGCTCCCCTCCATCCAGAATGCACAGGTTTTACTGCACCTGCATGGACTGCATGTGATCTCAAGGTCAGGATCTGGAAAGTGAATTTACTCCCCAAATCTGGACTCTTGGTGGCAAGCAGCCCCATCATCTTGTTTCTCCAATCCAGACACTCTCAGCCACTACCACAGAGCTACAGTAAGTGCATTTAAAGGTGATGAAAGCATTGGTGCTACTGATAGGAACACACACACGGAGATCTATAAACCCACCCCTCCTGCTTCCCTCTGTTCCGTGATCCTCCTGCCTCCAAGCCTCAGATGCAGGCTCAGGACTTCCATAGGGAAAACTTGCCCAAAGACCTGTTCAAAGGTTTTAAGAAGTTCCTGAGAAGCCACCTGATCCCATGGTCCATCAGTCAAGATAGGAGAGAAACAAGTGTGTTTAAGAGGGTGGTTCCCTCCTTTCTTTTTCTAAAGATGCGTGTCTTCCTCAAACACATCTACATCCTCGCTCGCCTGCTTATTGATCAGGACGTCCCAGCTGTCGGGGCCGTTGATGGTGTTTCCACCGTTCACACTCGGCTTCTTCTCCTGCATTTCCGACTGGCTGTCACTGGCCACGTCCAAGGTGGGGTTGTCATGGCAGCCATTCTCAACAAAGCGCAGCTCCTCGCCGTGCGACTGCCAGGGATGAGAGGACACAAATGGAGACAAAGAGGGACAGGTCTTAATGCTGCTGAGAAGCAAAATCAGACTAGGCTATGAGGGTCACTGAGAACTTTGTGGAGTCAGTGGGAAGAGGTAGATTTATTCCCAGCCCAACCCTCACAGCGGAAATGAGCTGTCCTAAGCACATTTGCATCTCTCTTACACCTGAATGAACTCCACTGCTGCTCCAGCAGTGTATCCAGTTATGTTCCATAAATGAACAGGGGAAAACAATTGCCCTCTTAACTTTCCAATCTCCTCCATCCCAAGGGCTAAGAGTCTGACCACCTTCTCCACCCATCCAGCGCTCACCATGTTCTTCATCTTGGGCAGGCGTCTCTGCCAGCAGTTGTAGATGAGCCCCAACACGATGATGATGGCACAGATGGAGCCGATGATCACCAACACCACAAAGAGCTTCCCATAATCACTGCGCGTCTGGTTAGGGTGCGACTGGCAGCTTGTGGTGGTCGAGTAGTTCTGGATACCAATCTGGAAGGAAGAAAGGAAGCAATACACTAAAAGTCCTGACCTGCAGGCAGATAGAATCCTGTTCAGACTTTCCACGGTCCAAGAACAGGACCAAAAATGTGGGCAGAGGAACTAAAAGCCAGTTGGAGACTCAGGTTGTATACTGTCTTACATTACTAGAAAGCTCATAACTATATATAACACCATTTTCCATGAAAGCTGACACAGCAGCAGATGACAGTAGGCACAATTTTATTTTGCTTATCTGCACAATGATATCACACCTTTGTGTATGACAAGGAGGCTTTCATGGGAGAAACTGTCCAAGACTGAGAGTTCCTAAGACAAACTAAGACCACTGATGGGTGCTGAGGCTTTGGTAACTGCTTGGCAGATAATGTAACCCTAATAAATAGATTTCCATTAAATCTCAGGTCCTAAGAGGGCATAGTAGTCTTTATAAGGTTTTGAAAGTGGACAGGTGCCTGCTGAGCTTAAAAGCTTAGGAATAGCTGTGCTAGAAATTGCCTCCCTGTGGCTGTCAGCAAACAGCCCAGCGTTGGTCCCAGTGACTTGGCAGATTTGAAATAGGTCATGTATCAATTCAATAGTAAGTGTGACAGGTGTAAGAGAATACCCTCCCTCCTCCTTGCAATCTCACGCTTGTGCAAGGGCAGCACTGTGAGCAGACAGAGCCAGAGTGTCAGAAGCATGGAGCAAGGAGGCTCTGGTAGGACTCATGTTAACATGGGGCCACCAGTTGCAAAGCCAAACCTTGTATCCACATAAATCCTTCTTTCTGGACAGTTCTAGGTGCTGATACTTCAGTCACACAAGTTCTGCAGGGTTGGCTTTTTGCACTTTCTCTGGTGTAAGCCAATCAATACACCACTGAGCACTTAATTTGCTTTGTCTAACTGCACCAGTTTGTTAGGTCAGAGAAAAACCTAACAGCAGATAGCCAGCAAGGCAGTGACCCAACCCTGCTGCTAAAACCAGCAAAATTACTCCAGTGGTGGGCACAAAATATTTGAGCAGAATCAGGTCCTCAGTGCCTACATGCCCTGTTGGACAAAGGGGCAAAGCCAGAGACTGTGGGACTGATTTGTCCTCCCCTCTACCCTCTTCCAAGCTGCCCAGGATTAGAAGGGAATATGTGATATGTGAGGCCTAGAGGCAACTGGGAGGGGAGTCTGGCATCCACTGACCCAGGTCCTCTGCCTGCCCTTGTGGAGGCAGTTGTTTAAGGAGTGAAATGCAGACCCTGGAATTGCAGAAGGTGTGTGAATGTATCAAGAGAAGCCAATGTATGTAAAACAGCTGCAGGGTGAGCAGGGCCAAATGTGGAGGTCTGCAGCACCCACACGGCTTTCAACAATAGTATGGAAGGGGTGACACTGAGAATCCCAACAAAATGAATGTGTGAAAAGCAGCCCCACAACCAACCCAGAAAAGAATAAACCGTAGTTACTCTCTTAAAAGGAGCAGACACTTGATGGCCTGGCTACTACCAGTGAGGGGAGAAGGGAGTTTGCCAAGCATCTGATTTATCTGTCTGCCTGCTGTGGGTTCAGTATTTGGTTAGACTGAGATATGCTCCCAGTTTTCAAGTTGCTTATTTTAATTGTATAACGGGTCTTAACAAATGGATGCAGGCAGACAGGCTCTTACCTCAGCTAAGCTCCTCTTAACATCCCCCAGTGCCATGAGAACATCTTTTGTAGGGATAACGCCTGTAAAGTAGAGGAAGAGATCAGTGCTGCTCTCAGCTCAGGTTATTCAGTCAGATGTATTCATCAGTCTAAAATCCCCAACAGGATGGAGACAGGGAAACACACATTTTTGTTCATTGGTGTTTTATGTCAGGAGGCTGAAAGAACACAGGATCACAGACAAGGGTACCTCCAAATACTCTTTAAAGGAGTATAAAAAATCCAAGGATGAACTGATATCAGAGCAACCTAGGTACCCTCACCACCACCACAGAAGCTCTCAGGATCTGCATCTGCTCTGGGAGCAAACAGCAGCACTCAGAAGGTCATGGAGACAGGTTCATAAAGGTTGTAGAGGCCATAATGTCAACATTAGAAACCTCTGTTACTAAGCAGGCAGCAGAAGCAGTACAAGAAAAAGGCCCCTTTACCAAAACTAGAATAAAGAGATGGTAAAATGTTCCAGTCCAGCCCATGTTCACTGTCAGCTTGTGTTTCTTTGGGGATGACGGAAGGCACTATGAGGACCATCCTAGTTCGAACAAGACTTAAAAATTGATAGGTTAGGAAGTGAACCAAGAGCAGGCTGTCATATCCTACCATGGAGGGGAGTACATAAACCTCAGGAAAAAGCTGAAAGATGCTCAGGGAAAGGCAGTCCAGGGAGTCAGCAAAGCAAAAGGCCAAGTGCAGAAGATGGAGCTTTGAGCAAACAGTGAGGGACAACCCAGAAGGCAAATGTGAAGAAAGATGTCCTCAGTCCCTCTCCATCCCTCAAGTCCAGTGAACACTGAAAACTGGTGGGATTGAAATGGAAAACTCCTTCCAACATGGCTGTGTACCTCCATTTGGAAGCCCCTTAAATATACTCCCCAGCACAGGAAGGCTCCTTCTGCCAGCACTTACCCTGTTCCCCTGCCAGCGTCATTAGCAAGTGCTTGTCATTCTCATTGGGTTTGCTCAGAGAGATGAGCCAGCGGTCCTGCAGCCCCTCTGCCTGCCTGGAGAAGGCATCCTCCACCAGTGCCAACAGCTGGGGACCCCTCTCCAACCGAAATTCCTCCTGCCACAGGAAAAGAACCTTGGTGAGTGCATGGTAGGGACAAGGCAGCTGTAGTACTGCAGGGCTGGTACAGCTGAGACCTGACAGGTGCCCAAAAGCCAGCAGTGTTAAACCTGGTGCAATGGTCCGCTGCACAGTGCCCCAGGCTGGACCCACAAACATTTCTTGATGCACCAACCTTCCTCCTCACCTCCTGTGGCTGCCATATGCCCCATACCAAGTCCAGCTCTCCTGGCACACAGGGATCCTGAAGCAACGTTATTTTAGGAGGAAGCAGCCACAGCCAGCACTGGGTCAGCAGGTGCTGCTCAGCCTGATATGCTCCAGCCATCCCTCAGCAGGCTCCTTTGCTGCTTTCTCACTCCTGTGTTTCTATTCTCATCTCCAGTTGCCATGCCAACCTGAAGGCCACACAGATGATTAATAAAATGGAGAGTTCTTGTTGCCATGGCAATTTGAAGCGCTCAGGGCAGGCACAGGCCTGTGCCAAAAATGGCCTAATTGGAGAAGACATTGATGACTGGAGCCTGAATCACAAGAGCCTGGCAGTGCCTCCTCTCATCAAATAGGTTTTGGTATGGGGAGGCAGGAGGAGCTGCATGAGGAAGCAGCACCGTGATGCAGCACCATGATGCTCAGCTGCAGCTCATGGCCCCACTGCCAGTCTGAGGCTCTCTTTTGGGGGATGCAGTGGAAAGGGGAACAGCTGAGCCAGGAGCAGGAGGACAGAAGTGAGATGTTTCTGGTGAAGGGGAAAGCAGAGGTTGCAGAACACTGATCAGTTCTCCATTCTGGAGAGGAGAGAGCAGTGAAGGAGCCTGAATGCATCTGTGCCAAGGTGGAGGTCACCTTCCGATGCATAGCCAGGTACCACTGCTGGGTCAGATCCTGCAGTCCTCATTTGGGCAAACCTTCCTGGAATGTTGAGTGGGAGATTTGCCCAGAGCAAATCTTACTTCAGAGACTGAAGTGATTCCCTTGCCTAGAGAAGACAAGGGAAGGTTTTCCCTTCCCAATAGGAAGACAAATGGGCTTCTATCATAACCCAGAAATACAGACATGGTCCGTGCAGCAGGTAAAAGCCTGGTGCCATGAAGTGTATTGAAGGTCAAAGTTCAACCCTCTGGGAGGAGCTAAGCACCCTCCTTGTCCCTCAGCTTTTCAGTGGGACTTTCTACAGATCATGGCACCAAAACATTGAAATATGTGAGGAATACTCATTCACATTAATTTAAGCTACAGCACTTGCAACACAGCTTCTCCCTTAAAACCCCAGAAACCCAAACACCACAGAGTTCCAATAGAGAAACCAAAAAACAAAAGGGGCAGGCAGACAGTAGGTAAGGTGCCCAAACTGAGCAAATTACCAAGGGCAGGAAACAAACTGCATCAACATCAGTGGAAAGAAGAGGAGCTTGATTCCAGCTTCACTCATGCAAAGTGGTAATGGGAGGCAGGGAATGATGAGATGCTCATGTTAAATATGTATGATGACAAATGTCCCTTTGAATAAGGGGTAGTACAGCACAAATCATTCACTGGGAAATATGCTTTGAAACATGAAATCAAGTAGAAAAACAGTTCAGTCCTGCCTATCCCAGGGCACCATCTTCCTCCAGCAAGGCAGAACTGAGGATTCAACAGCAGAGACATAATTTGATCAAGAGACATCTGCACATCTGCTTTTCAGTTCTTCCCCTTACAGAGGTTTAAACAACACAAGTAAAAGTGACCATAGAAAGGAAGTTAGTACATATTACAAAATTATCCAGTATTGAAAGTCCACAGAGATGGGAGAGTGATGGAGACATGAAGGGAATAGGGCAGAAGGATGCTGATTTTCAAGGACTCGTATTATGTGTTACAATTGTGAACTGTAGCAGAGATACTTAAAACCCTCCACACTGGTTTTCCTAAATTAGGAGGAAAAAGACTGAGTTTTCACCTATCCTTAGAACAGTCGGCATGTCTTACTGTGTATAGGAATTTCTCCATTTTCCACGTCCCCTAAAAAGTCACCTTTTAAAAAAATAAAAACAAACCAACCTAGAACTCACCAGTAGTGGCAAGAGGTCAGTGCCACAGAGCAACCCTGCAGTAACAGAACCGGCTGGCTCTGCCCACAGCAGGAGCCCCACAAAGCAGGAGTGCAGATGCACGTGGCCAGAAGACAATTCCTCAATGAAATATTTTGGTCTCAGGTTGTCAGGCTTGTAATAATTTCTTAGAATTATGAAAGACACTTTGACCCCAGGCCTTTCACAACTTGGTTTTTAAGTGCCTGATAAAAGGCCCAGCAGAAGTGAACAAGCCCTTTTATCAGGGATCCACAACAGACTCTGGGCTCATGAATTAACTGCAGCTGTATGAGGATGGATGGACAGGCGGTGGATTAGCAGAGCATGACTGGCTAACAGACACAGATAACACACAAGATAATAGGGTGGGGAGAAGAGACCCTTAAGGAAGATTTAATGATAGCTACTTGATACTTATCCATGCACAGGACAAATGGGAGTCCCTATTCCTCTGAGCCATCAGAGGGTTGTTACTATATGGTGAAAGGAATGGAAGGAAAAGGAAGAGAAGGAAGGAGAACTGTGTTCAATCCTGTAAGAGGTACAATGTTAAAAGCTCTCATGTCTCATGACAATCCAGGTATTGACTGGCACAGACTAGCAGCCACAAGTTAGTAAAACATCCAATATGGAACTGACATGTGCTAGACTTAGAGCAAAATCATCTTTCTCCACCCACTCTTTTTCCCTTTTGGAGAACAGGAATATTTCTGTCCTCCTACCCTTCACTTCACAGCCTCTATAGGTTGAGATTTAGTGCTTTTAAAATGTTTTGTGGTGAAAGCAGACAGCAAGAGCTGCTTTCACTTTCCTAAACATCCATGCCATCAAATCTCTTTGGACTGACTTACACAGTCTATGTTATCCGACATATTCAGGATGATATAGTTCTTTCCTGCAAGGTTGCTCCAGTCTTTGCAGATCACCTGGAAAGACAAGACAAAGACACCTGGGCTCAGGCATGAATGTAACTCTGCTGCTGAAAGTACAGGGTACACAAGGGACAGGGGCAAAGCACTGTGCCACACTCCCAGAAGCACTTCTTAAAGGATGTGAGTGTCCTTTAACTCTCTGTTCTGAGGAGGAATCACTCTTTCAGTGCTAACATAGAACAGGGACAAAGTTACTGTGCCAGCTTGCCACAGCTCAACTTGACCTTCCACCTCTATCTAGACTCAAGGAGGACACAGGGTCTCAGTGGAAAGCTCTCTAGCCTGCAGCCTTATCAGCACTTAACACAAAACCTAAGCAGGAGCCTCTGCGGTCCTTAAACAAACTGGTGAGACAGGGCAGCATAGGATAGGATAGGCAGGATAGGATGCACAGAGGGACTAAGCCACTTGCTCAAGCTCCTAAGTGCCATGGAGCAGAAGGCAAAATTAAAAGCTTTGCTTGGTACTTTCTCACCCGTCAGTTCCTGCTACATATCTTCTCTTAACCAGCTGCCAGTTTGCTGGATTCAAGAACTGCAGTTCACCCCTCCTCTCCCACAGGCTCTCCAAGAGCAACATCCTCACACATAACTGTACTCTGCTCCACCTGCTCCACATCTGGTCCCTTCAGGCAGCAGCAGCACTTTCTTCTCACTCCCCTTCTAGAAATCCTTGGGGCTGTGTTTGTCCTGACACTTCCAGTAAAGGAGGCTGAGGAAACAAGGAGCTTCCTCTGCTCCACATGCCCCAGAGGAAAGGAGTTCAGCTTCTGTTTATCAGAAGCAGGATTTTGTGCCACTAGGAAGATGTGAGGAGCCAGGGCTTTCACCAAGGATGATAGAGATGCTCTTAAGAACTGCTGTGAATAATTCTACTTGAAAAAATTCAGTTTTGACTGGGTGAACAGAATAAACTACTTCCAGCAGTCAGACTTAGGGACTTAGGTTAAATGCTCCCCAGGAGTGAAGTACCCAAATACCCCCATTGCAACCTCCCACCCTAGCCCCTGCTCCCAGTGCAACCTGTGCTGAGTCCCAGGGCAGCTCAGTTGGCAGCATGGCCATGCGGGCATCCCCAGCTTGTGGAGACGAGCTCCTCTCTGCTGCTGCAGCCTCAGTGGCTGACTCAGTGTCATTCCAAGCAGGATCCAGTGCAGGCTCATCAGCTCTGTCCCACGGAGACACAGAAGGGGGGTGCTGCTCACTACCAGGAAGAGTCTGGGTGCCTGGGGAGCTGCTTGCAGGAGAGAGTGTTCCCACAGGTGTTTCCACTGTCTGCTCCATTTCAGTCAGCATCGTGGGCTCCAGCATCTCCCACCCCACCGTGGCCTCTGAGACCTCCTCCCTGGCGGAATGCTCTTCCCCAGCAGCCTCCACCGTGGTCTCTGCAAGCTCTGCTCCTGTTGTAGCCACAGTCAGCTCTGAATCTGCTCCCCCAACAGCCCAACTGTCTCCAGTTGTTACCTCAAAGAGTTCCTCCGAATCACTGGGAGAACTGGCAGATCTTGCAGCAACAGTAGTAGAAAAAGTAGAGGGCACAGGTAGAAGACCTGGTCCCATGCTGCTCCCAAGGTCTAAGCCTGGAGAAACAGAGTCCTCTTCTTGCCCTCCTATGGCTGCCTCAGTCACAACACCTGGCCGGGCAGAGGCTGTGGAAAACAGAAGGGAGAAGGAGTCCTCTTGGTCCACTGGTTCAGAAGATGCAACCTCTGGTCCAGAGGTATGGAGGCTCTCCATTCCTCCTCTTGAGTGGTCTATAGGAAGCAGCCCCTCCTCTTCCTCTAGTGTGGAGAAAGGTGTGTGTAAGTCAGGCTCCACAAATTCTGCCGGTGGCTGGACAGTGGCCATTTCCCAGTTGTCTACTTGTGTCCCATTTCGTTTCAGCAATGCCTTCTGAGATGAAGCAGGAAAGGTATAATCTAAAAAGAGATCCAAAAAACTTCATATTACATCTGAACTAAGAACTCTGAGAGGCAGAGAATATCCCATTATATGTGTCCAGCCACAGGTGGGAGTTAAATGGCAGAGACCCTCCAAGAGCAGGAAGCCTGCCACAGTAAAGAACCATCCCATACAATATGTGCACTTTTCCATCTACCCATCCCATCCCAGTGAACCCATATTCCATGGGATAATTTCCATGTTTGTTCTCTCCACATCTGCCTGTCCATAGGCACTTTCACAGACAATAATAAATAACAGTTTTGATACCTGGCATCTTTAAGTTGAGGTTATGAGTGTTAGGAATCAGATGGAACCTGGAGATTCATTTCAGATGGGATTGAGAAAGATATGGGGTGGTAGAAGCAGTCAGCCACAAGCTGAATGGGAAATACTACAGAAACTAGTATAAACTAAAAAAAAAAAAAGAACTAGTTTTAGAAACTAAAGCACAGAAAACCAAATCCTCCTTCCTGGCACTCCCAAGTAATACCACCAAACCCTGAATCAATCTGGGCATACTTGAAATGCAGAATTTTAGTTTGTACAGCACTTCAGAAAAGTCATCCCACGAACATCTGCATTAGTTCTGCTTTACTACAGCAGCTGAATCTAACTCCCCTCCCTCCAACTACAGCCCCTGTTGTTATGTCACTCTGACCACAAATGGAAGTGCTGTTGCTAGACAAATATAAATGCTGAAGGAGATGCAGCTCACAAAAGTAAGGACAGAGCAAGCTGGGGTTTCTTCTGGAAGCTAACGAGGAGCTGGGGACCCAGGAAAAGGAAAGTATCTGTAAGATCAGATATGTTTAGCTCAGGGTGGCAGGCACAAATCCAGCAAGCATAAATCAACCTTCATCTTTCTTGAGAAACTGCTCATACCCACGGAGTTCTGTTTCAGGAGTCTGCATCCCAATTAATTCCCTTTCTCCCCAAGCCAAGCACAGCACATTCTCACTGAGAAGGGAAGGAAGACGATCCCTGCACAGCCAGAAATGAGCCCCCTGCTCTGTCTATGGTTATTAAGTAAATGACTGTCTGAAATTCCCAAGGCTCCCGTCTCCTCTCCTGCCTGCCAAAGCAGATGCTCCACTGAGCACAGTGGGAAGCAGCTGTCTGGATGCCTTACAGAGATCTGCACAAAAAAACTCCACACATCCCTGACTCCAATCCATCACTTGCTGCTGCCAGAGTGGGTGCAAGCTCCCGGGCAGGGGGGGGCATGTCAGCAAACACCCATTGCCCTGGGTATTCCCTGGCAATCAGGACATCCCCATGCTACTCCTGCCCAACCCTCCTAAGCAGAAAACACACTGTTCCAAGCAGGAGGTGTAAAGATCCTCCTGATCAGAGAGTGGATTCTCTAACCCACAGCTCATTCCCTTTATGGTGTCAGCATCTCCTCCCAGATGTTGCCCAAAGATCAGTGTTACCCAGCTGCTGACCTTCAGAGCTGTGGTGTGGAGACTGGCTCCCAGTTCTGTCTGCAAAGAGGCCACTGGGATTCACTGCCCTGGGCAGGCAGAAGTCATGTCACTTTGCAGCTGTGTCTCACTAGAGAGCACCCCACAACTGACATCCCACCTAAAGACCCTGAGAATTAAAAGATTTTTGCTTCCCAACAGCCAGCTGGTGATGCTTCCTCATAGGCCAAGGAGGCTGGTAATTGCCTTGGCTGAGGCCAAGAGCAATCAGCAGCAGCACAGACCAAAGAAAACCCATCTCTCCTCCACTGCCTGGCACTGGTCTTCCCAAAGGCCCCTACCAACAGGTAACATTCCAATGTCTTCAGATGTGGTCACTGCCTTGCTGGATGGATGGCAGGAACAGCCACAGGCCATGGGATTAAGGAGGTTTGGGTGGGACTGTCTTCAGACAGATAGTAAAGCAGGCTCTGCTACTCCTGCTGCAGGGCTAACTCAGGATTTGCACCAAGAACCCCCTCTGCCCTGACATGCTGTGGGTGAAAAGTGAGGGTTTTGCCCTTTTAAACAAGGCCCTGTCAGATGAGATGTTATTTTCAAGGATTGGTGATCCAATCTGCCACCTCCTTTGCCTAAAGACATTCTAAGATATTCTCAAGTCCTTTGCATCTTCCTCTCTTCCATGCTCTTCTTTCCACCTGGAGCAGAGCACGAACTGGCAGGCAGATGGGCACAGCAAAAAAACAAACCACAAAAAAGCAGCATGAGGTTTGTCTCACAGGACCAGAAATGCTCCCAGCCTGTCAACTCTCCTTTGAAGTCACAACTCAACCTTTCCTTAAAGTGCTCTGTCACAGATTAGTTGGCTCCCATGGGGGAAAGCCCCGCATGGTACAGCTGCGCTGCCTTTCCACCAACACAATCTAAAGATCTCGGAGGAACTGCTGCCTCAGCCATCTCTTCTGGGCAAGAAAGTTTAGGACCCATCCCACTCTCTCCCAGCAGACTTCTAATAAGACAGCCAAAGATTGAAACCTGAGCTGCTTCTCTATAAGCAGACACGGGAATCCTCACACTTGCTACTAACTGGGTTAGCATTTTCCCACTTGTCATCAGTTTCCCCACTACCCTGCATGTTAAGCTGGGAACATCCTTCCATCCGGTTCACAAGACCCCACTGATTAGAAACTCAACTCCTCTCAAATCCTGAGAGAGCTATTAGATTCAAGTAGGGAACAGTGAAACTGGAGGCACAGCGGTGCTGGATTGTGCTCCTTAAAACAAGGATCTCTCAATGTAACCCAGTTACCAAAGAGGTTCAATCCCTTCCCAGGTTCAGGAAGGATCACAGAATCATCAAGGTTGGAAGAGATCTTCAAGATCTAGTCCAACCATCAACCCAGAAGCACTATAATCATTCCTAAACCATATCCCCAAATGCCATATCCAGATGCCAACTATGATGAGTCAATCCTTCCTTCCAGACTCTTCAGTCTTCAGTTCCCATCTGGAATCAGCTCCTCCTGTCTCATTAACAAGGGCATCTGCCAGCTTCTCAAGATCAGGTGTCTTTAAGGCACTCATATTTTCTTTTAGTTTCACCCCTCTTCTATGATTTGAAGGAATTTTTGCACCTTGTCTATCTCCCTGGTATGATCTCAGCCCCTAAGCTGGTCCCAGCCACCATCCAGACAAGCTGGCCTGTCACTCTATGCAATGCAGAGCTAACAGCTTGCCCATTTCAAGAGTCTTCTCAGCATTTCCCTTGACTCCTCTTCCCTCCAATCCTAAGGGAACTCAAAGGACATCTCCCATTTCTAGCATCGAGGCAGCAGCTCCCTTTCAGCAAGTGGTTTACAACCCCCTTGGCCCACCTGGTTGTCCTCTACCTTCAGCAGACCTGATGTACCTGATTTCCCATGCTCCAGGCATCTGGCAGTACACCCACAGACCTTCCCACCTTCCAATGCCAGTGCCATCCACCTCCCTTCTCATCACTTCTGTGGGGAGAAACAGCAACCACAGAACAGAGGCAAAGAGACACGGCAGCCTGTGCTCCTGCTGCAGAAATGGGACAGTCTTCTGCTAAAGGAGACAGGTATTATGGAGCTGGCTGCAATGCCAGATTTGCCTGGTAAAATCAGCTCATCTAATTTCAGGGAGGAAGCAGAGCTCTGCCAAGCCCAAAGATGCCTGAGCAGGGAGGAGGTAGTAACTGAATGCACCATCAGCTCCTTCCCTGCCAGGGTCTACTGTCTCCCACCAAGATCAGCATTAGGCTGGAGCAAAAGAGGAGCCACAAACAAGAGCAGCCAAGCCACAATGGAGCCAGTCTGATCACAGGGGGAAACAGCTTAGGAGAACCAACTGCTGGAACGATGAGACTGTCCCAGCACCTCTGGCAAACAGTCATGCAGGGATAGACCAGAAGAGTGTAGCAGGCAGACACTGCTCTATGTCATGGACCCTCCCAGAGCTTCTCTGCCACACCATCCCCTTGGCAGTGTCTGGTTCACCAATATGAAATTACACACCTCTATCTCACCTCTTTGCCACCATATCCTTAGCTTCACTCCTTAATGCTTTCCATCAGTGGTGATATTATGCATATTGCAGCATCCAGCTGCCTCCACAGTCCCCCAGCTTTTCCCTTCCAAACTCTCTTACAAAAACCCTCAGGCAGTACTTTCTAAAGAAACCATCTTTCACAGCCCTTCCAAGTCTTGCCCTTTGCATCTCCCAGAAGACCCAGGTCTGGGTCACACAGATCCACTTTCTTTGCCTGGGGAGATGATTTTCCCTGGGAGAGGTGAACATGAGCTTCAAACCTCTGCAAAAGCCCTCATTCAGGCAATGTCCTGCTTCCTCCAAAATCAATACCAAAACTTCCCTGACACCAGATGGGCCAAGACATGGCACAATTCCCCAGCCAGACACTTAATTCATTAGATTTCTGCTTCTCTGTCATTCAGAAGAGCTGGTCTCAGTTACTGCCCTACAAGGTTCCCTACCCTGTATTTGCTAGTAACAATTTAAAGCAACCGTGACAACTCAAGAAGAGGGTGATCCTCATTGTTTTTAGTACACATAACCTGACCATAAGGTGTTTATTGGATTAAACTGGAAGATCATGTTAACCAGTGATTGAATTACTGATAACTAGAAGCTACTATAATAAAGACATGACCATTCCTGTGCTCCAATCGCAACACAGAGCATCATTCACACTAAAACATCTGCCAACTTTGGGAATCACAAAGTGCACTCTACTGAAAATGCAGACAGGTCTGAAACTGTATCTGCTCTCTTTTTTGCAGTACAGAATAGTAAGGCTTACTGCAAAAAAGTTACACTCCAGCTGACTGAAACCACAGGGGGATTTCAAAGAGGCAAAATACAATTACTGGTGCTGGAATTGAGCCAGCTGGGGCTAATATACTAATCTTCCAGAAGAGCTAGGAGAGGTTATTATCAGCAACTCCAAGACAAGTCCACACACACGAAAGAGATCACAGTTAAAAGAGAGACCCAAAGCAGCAAAGTGATTAGGCCTCATTATGTTTGAATTTGCTTGAGGTACAGACCAGTCACAAAGGAGTACAGCTGTTCCCAAATAGCCTCGTACCTTACTCCAGCTCGGCACACAGACTGCAATAAAGGCAGAGAAAGCCATCCTCACCCAACACAGTCAGTCAGGGATAGCTGCACCAGAGTAACACCCTGCCCAGAGAAACCCTCTGTCACGAGTCAGCCTTTGGCAGCAATGTCTTGACAGAGCTGGCTTGTCCCAAGACAGATCACCCGTGTCACTGTACACTAAACCAGGGCATAAACAAGAGGCATCCCGGGAGCTGAGCTAGGGCAGGTGGCTGCTCAGCACTAAGCTGCTTATGGAGACAGTCTTTACCAGGTGCTTCATTTCATTAATGCTTGTCTTGAAGATGGTATTAAGAACTGCAGATCTGCTGTCAGTCTGGATGAAGAGGAAGTAGATTTCGGTAAGGCTGAGGGATACCAGGATCTCTCTGGCCAGAGGCAAGTAATTCATCGTGGAAGGAAGTGAATCTCACTATCAGGGAAGATGGAAGGTATTTTATTCCATTAGCTGGTCAGAAAACTTACTTATTCTTGAATATAGTCTTTCTAACTTCTCTGTCCCACTATCCGTCATCCTAACTCTCCTGGAAATCCCTTCTGCTAATTACTATGAATAATTAAAAGATTACAATTTCCTCCCCCATCCCACAAAGCACCACATGCTGTCCTAGGAAATCACCAATCTGTAAGACTAGATTTGATAGCTCCCAGTACAGTCATCCCTTGGTATTCAAGCACCTTGGAGCTAAAAGAGCAGTCCCTGGCTGTAATGAAGTGAGCCTCATGCCAGCCCACTGTATCACTGGAAAATGGGATGAGGCACTCCAACCCTTGAGTACTCAGCTGTTGGGCAGGGGAGGAGAGGGACTAAGTGCGCTCCTGCATCAGACATTCACAAGCCTTGTGTCCATTTTCTGGAGCCCACACGTCCCAGCAATTAATGGTGAGGCTGCCTCAGACTCGAGCCTTCACTGGAAGAGAGGAACATGTGGAGCAGCGCATGAGAACTGCAAACAGGGAGCACTCCAGGGTGGATACAACACCATGTAACTCTTTCACCAAAATCAAGGCATTCTAAGAGACCTACAATCCTATTGACTCCCATCTTCTAGCCCTAAAGGTGGATGTTTTATCTGTTGCCAAGGACATCTGTGTAACAGCAGGAAACACAGGGGACTGGAAGCATCTAGGCAAAAAAGATGGAGAAATGGGAAGAAAGGAAAGAAGGATAGGAAGGGCCAGATGCAAGACCCTGCAGGTCCTCTCTCTTCAGAGTTGATCTGTGGCTCAGGCCAACTTGCTACCAAAGGTGAAGCAAGCAGCCAAACTCAAACTACAACCAGAAGCTTCTGGGTTCCCTGGAAACCTGAAGGGATGCAGAAGTAACAGGTTCACAGCTCCACTGACTTGCCTTTTGGCTGCAGTACAAAAAATCACACACTACTTCTTTCCATAAGGATATAGCATCCAAATTCCCACCAGACCTAATCCATCTCCTCCACATGTGGCTCCACGGGGTAGCAGCTGTGCATGGGGTGACACACATGCAAATGCACACTTCTGTGCACCCTCAGACAGAATGAGACAAATGTTAGGGCCCTGCCAAAGGTTGGTGCTCACCAATATCTATATAGAATTACTGTTCCATAGAGTAAATCAGCAAAAGCACATTATTATTCAGGAGAACCAAAGCCCCAGGCTGAGCTGTGCTGTGCCACTGGGAGTTTGTCCTCACTTTCTAATGGACTAACAGGTGGCCCTAGAAATGTTTCCTAGAAATACTTTTAAAAGATATTTCTGTGCACTTAAAAAAAAAAAAAAAAAAAAGAAGCAGCAGCTGCAGATTGTTACTGCTTTTTAGCTCTTGCAACCTCCAAGTCACACAAAGGCAGGGTAGTCTCCCCACACAGAGTTCAGATGGACATAAAAAACGAGAGATAACTAACACAGCTTTTGAATAACAGGAGATCTGGCCTATCCGCAAAACTCCCACCAGTTCAGGCCCAAAGGTTTTATACAAAGACAACAAGAAGCCAGCACAGGTCTCTTTTCATAGCAGGTAATTTTCTCTCTCCAGGAGTACAACAATCCTGTTCTGTGCCTTGATTGATGCAGTGTTTCCAGTGTGTGCCTGGGACAGAGCTACCAACTGTGCTGAGCTACACTTCACTGAATGAAATCTCACATAAGGAAAACTTACACCACAAACTTTTTTTCCCTTAAACAGCAGCTGTTTAAAACTGTTTAATGGGTTTATACATTGAAAATAACCTAACAGATGTCACCACACAGTTCTGCAAGGTATCACATGGCATCTGTCACACATGCAGCATGTAAGTTCCACTGGTTGGGTGCATTTCTCATACAGAGGCTTTGCATGACAGGAGAAGACTGCCCAATTTAGGGATGCTATTACAATATCCTTTATTGTAAAATGACACACGGCAGGTTTCTAATTAAATTTTAAGTAGAAATGTGCTCCCAGCTCTTGAATAATTCAGACTGTTCTATTAACCAAGGTTCTGATATGCCATTGAGACATGAGCTCTGGACACAGCAACTGTCAGGGGAAGAAACAGCACTTGGAAGCAGAGCAGTGGTTAGCCGGGCAGCGGATAGGGCAGGGTATGCATAAAGGACAGCTGAAAGAGCACATCTGCTCCTGGAGGAAAGAACTGCAGGCGAGAACGGAAGGAGAGAGCAGCGTGTTCTGCATGCAAATGGGGCGAGGCACGTGCAGGAGGCAAGGCTGGGTTCAGTACCCAGTCATCTCCCTCTCAATGCACAAGCACATGCTGTTCTCCAAGTCACGTCCAGATCTGTGAGGACATGCAGGTGCCTGCTGGCACACCAAGAAAAGCGTCGCTGAGCGCTGCCAGCGGGTGAGAGCGGCTGAGCCAGAGCGTGTCCCGGGGATGCGCCGGCAGGAGCGGCACCATCCGCCCCCAGCACCGCTGCACGGCACAGCTGCCCCACGGCCAGGCCTGCGGGTGCCCCAGGGCAGCGAGAGCACAGCCAGACAGGCTTAGCAGCACTGCCAGTGAGCAAAGGGCTTTGGAGACACAAGCTGGGATGGCCCTTGTCCCACAGAGCCTGTGGCCCAGCGAGCAACCCAAGCCACAGCTCTGCGGCAGCTCTCGGCCCTGTCTGAGCACAGGTGTTTTTTAAGGTCGCAGAAACAGGAGTGAAGATAAAACAGGACTTGTGCTTTCTAATTGCAGACCTCAGTCAGATCTGCTGAGAGCGATACTGCCTAAGGGAGGCGGGATAAGGCTGAAGCCTGGCCCTTGGGTAACACTTAATACATGCCCCACATGACACTTAAGAGCAGGAGCATGTGAAATAATCTCCTAAGCTACTGGAAACCCTGCAGCGCACCTCCTCCTTCCTCCCATCCCTCTCCCTGGGAGCATCTCAAAGCCAATGAGGGGCTTGGGGAGAGACTACTGTGGGGACTCAGTGGTCTCAGAAAAACACTCCACAGAGGAAAGCGAACTCAAATGCCAATGAAACCCACTTTGGTCATGACCTCTCAGGAAGTAGCAGGATAGGACAGGCAACAGGACAGCTACCCAAGGGACAAAACCTGCTGTTTTCTCCTGGACCAAATCCCCACTGAAGTCACAGAGTGAGGAACCCAGAATTTGATCCAGGGAACTCAGCTCTGACTCAAATGCTAAGATGGCCTTGATCTCAGTTGGGCTCTTGAGACCTTAAAGTTGTGCTTTATAGACAGCAACAGATAAAAGCAAGAGAGAAGAGAGCATAAAGGGGAGAAAGTGAAAGGAGAGCGTGAGGCAATGGGAAACTAGATGGAGGCAATGCTTTTCCCAGCTCATAGCAGCTCAGGAATAAAAGCTCAGCTGTAACTTGGTTTCTAAAGCCTGTGCTTGCTCAGGGTTCACTGGGGACACATCAGGCACTGAGGTGAGAAAATAGAGCTGACATTTAATCTCAGGCCCTCTTAGCAAGAGCTGTGTCAAAGCAGGAAGATAGATTCCTGCATCCTTCCACTTCTCCAGAGTCCCTACAGAGTGGAAGGAAGAATGGAGTAAAAATAACTTACCTGTTGCTGGTCCCAAGTCCAGGCTGGAGTCGTTGAGCTCTCCCCCATCTTCCCAGAAGTATTGTGGGGGCTGCAAGATCTTGGACTCCTCATTCTCCTCGCTGGCAAAGCCCGACCCTGGAGCAGCATGCAGAGAGCCAGGGGCAAGATCTGGCTCTGCAGCCTCTGGGCTGCTCTGCTCATGGGAATTCATGGCCTCCAGGTGGGACATCATAGCAAATTCCAGCAGGGAAGTTGATGTGAGGCCATCGGCAGTTGGGTCCTCCGAGGAGGCAAGGCAGAGGCACAAGGTCCCTGTATAATGACAGTAAACACACATCAGAGAGAGGAATGACACCCACTGGGCTTGTCTTCCCCTTGAAGCCTATTCCTGCCAAACCAAACAAGATGGGCTGTGCTCTCAGCTGATGAGGAAAATTAGGGTACTTTTGGACACATCCACAAGCATGCAGAGTAGCACTCACATCCAGAAGGAGTCAGTGCCAAGCAATCATCCAGCCTGGAGCACCTCTTACTGGGGTGATGATTCACCCTCTGTGAGGTGTTTTTGCCTCTGTTGAAGGATGAGGTGCCTTGTTAATCACCCAAGCTGGAGAGGAGGTGGAATGTCTTATAGTTCAGCCCTGAAACCTTGGCATCGTGAAAACAATGACAGTTTCTATCAGACTGTCCTGATCTACAGCTATATTATATGCAGGGAGACTGATCCAAAGCAATATTATTTACAACCAGTATTAATCATGTTTTAAATCTGTAGGGTGAAAATCTATGTTTTGGTTTGAACTCCAATGCACTCACACTGTTGGTTTTCTTAAGGAAGGGCTGACCGTAACAGGTTGACAATTATATTGTGACAACAGCAAACATCCACCTAACACTAAGCAGGGAAGCAAGCTGCATTTTGCACTTTTATTTCAACATTATACTCTTATTATTTCCATTTTAACTCTTTGAAGGATTGACTGACACTTCTTCATTCTTAGATGAGACTTTAATTGCAATTTGTGTCAAGGTACATTCACATGCATATTGAACTTCAATCAAAATGCAAGAAAACGGCACCTGGGACTTGGCTTTATTCAGCTGCTAAATACCATTATAAATATGGAGGCATAAGGAAAAAATAAAATTACCAAAAGCTGTTTTACATTTAAAACAGTTTTGTTAAGCAAGCAAAGTAACTACTTTGGGTGAACTGAACCATTTGCTTTGCAGCCCTCTATTATTCAGCACATCAAAACTAAAAGATCTCATCCTCTCACAGCTGATTTTTATTCATAGATCAGAACAAAAAAAGGACAAGTTTTCTTGCTTTCTCAGCTCAGACTCAGTTTCTCAATTGTTAATGAACTAGTCACTGAACTGAACTAATTGAATAAGCTGAAATGAAGACTAATTTGGTATTTTTCTTTGATAACTGATTTTCTACACAACAAATGCAGCAGCTCTAATTCATCTGGACTTCAGTCAAATATCTGATACAGTGCCTCATGCAGAATTACAAGAGACACAAGGAAAGATACCTATTAGCAAGAAAACTGTAAGGCATTGGCTAGACAAAAAAATGACAGAGGCTTGTGCTGGAGGGAGGCTACTAGTGGAATTCCTCAAGGTTTGTCCTTAGATCTGCTGTTCTATCATATTTTCCTTAGTGACCTTGGAACAAAAAGTAGGAACATGATAATGAAATTAGCCAAGGACACAAAGCAAGGAGACATCCTCACTGCACAGAAAAACCTAGATACAGCTAGGTGATCTTGAGAATGGAAATAACAGAAATATTATGAAAAGAAATAGCTTAAAGTGATAATCCACCCCCTTGAGAACTAGCACAAAATATTTCTGATACAAGATGGGAAAACATCCATTAGAAACATCTTAAGAGGAGAAACTCCTGTATTAGGAACAGCTCTGAGATATCACTGGAATGCAGATGTGAAAATCCTTGCAGAGTTGTGAAGTATTAGAAACAGATTTTACAAAGCACTGCTGAGACATCACCTGGGGCTGCACACAGATCTGGATACATGTGGCCTGAAATTATTTAAGCAGATCTGAATTGCCTTCAGGCAAGGGCACAGACGAGGCAACCTCCTGATGTTGCTACCCACCACTGTGCCCTACAACTCCACATCCCAGAAGCACAAATCCAAATCAGGGTAAGTGCTAAGATGAGCTATGGGGCAATGGCAGATGGGTTGACCCTGGTGCATTCATTGAAAACATTGGCAATTTGGCACAGAAAGTTTGTGAGTAGCTGCTCACCTGACAGAATGATTACCAAACCTGTCCTGGGAATACCAGAAGCCAGAAATGAATTTCTTAAGTCTTCTGCCCGCTCTGACCCCCTCCACCTCTCTCCACTATTCTCTGAACTGAGCAAAATCCAATATTGGTTACCCCCTCCCATACACATTAGGCCAGGCTTCAGCACTTCTCAATCTTGTTTATTTTGCCTTATTGATCCCAGGCAAGATCAGCTGAGGTCTGAGCAGCAACAAAAAGGGAATGACAAAAGATGCAGTGTATCAAAGGGGATGGAAGCTACTGCAGCATCACAGAGCCAACCAAAACACCTCAGGACATCTCTAGGTATATGCCAGCTCCTGAGCCATGCATGAACAGGGAAGTCCACAGCTGGAACCAAGAGCTCACATCCCCTGTGTGTGAGCATGGACCTGGGAAGATCTGCCAGGACAGCCCCATGCTGTTTCAGGGGTGCTCAGCAGGCTCTAGTGTGAGCTTCCCCAGCTGCCAGACGACACCTGCATCACTGACAGAGCAGCCCAACAGAGAGAGCACTTGTCTTGAGGAGCTTACAGCTTAAGCAAACATGACAGAGAGCAGCAAGGAGAAAAGAAACATTATTCTCAAAGTTATCCAGCAAAGGAAAGCAGAAAGATAGGAAGAAACCATGGCAGGTCCAAGGCCACATGGAATATTTGGTTTATATGTGACTGCAACTGACTGCCTGGATCCTGAGCAAGCTCTTTATCCACACCAATGCCTCAGTTTCCCCTGACTCCCATTAGCAGAGACATGGCTGATGTGGGACCTCAGCTTTCCAGCCACACTACAAAGCACATCCTGAATCTCCCCAAGCAGCAAGGCAAAGCCTCAAAATGTATCTCTGTGCCAGAATCTACACTGCCTCAAACCTCTTTTTCATCAGCTACCCTCTGTTTGGGCTGCCTACACAGCTCAGCCAGAGCCCACCCCACCCCTTCTACAACACACATCTCATGGCAGGTGAACCTGGTAATCCAAAGAGCTATTTCCATCCATGTGGGAAGCTCAGATGCTGGGAGTTTGTTTACCCTCCTTTAACTCTGAAGTGTTTACCCAGTTAAAACCCCCTAAGCTGCCTTATCTGGTTTACTGGGATGCTGCGCTTTCCTCAGCACAAGATAAAACTACACCACCTCATCCCTAAGAATGAGTCATGCACAGCCTGAGCAAGACAGGTGTCTCCTGGGGTGGATGTGAGTAACACCCTGGGGACTGATCTACAGGCACAGGATGCAGAGACCGGTCTGGGGGAACCCTCTGTGCCAGCACCAGCCTGAGTGCCCCAGGGCTTAAAGAACCACCACACCAGGGTACAAATCCTGACACCACTTCATTCATGCCTTCTCCACCAGCAGCAAAATCCCAAAGGCTTGGGGTGCCAAAAAGCAGCCTGAAGATTTGCCATCTTCCCTCTCTCTTACAAGTCTCTCATAAAGGAGCTCCACGCAGCTGTCAACTACAAGGCAAAGAAAGAATCAAAGCATGAGCTGAGCAGGGAGGCAGGGGAGCACAGCTGAGAGAGGAAATCTAATGCCCAAGACCTCAGTTGCAGGCCATTTTCCTCCTAGGACGGTAACAGGGATTAGACAACTTCTACCAGCCATCAGTCTCCCGATTTTGTATTCTAAAACGCAGATCAAGTGATAGGAATAAAGAAACAAATGAATAAAGACCTGCAACTGTAGACGGGAGGGAGCAGGGAACGGAGCCAGGGCTCACCAGCTGCTTCAATGGGGCGTTTGTCTCTCATTTCTATTTTTGCGGCACCTCTGCGTAACCTGGAGGAGATGAGGCTCTGCATGCTAAAAAGGGCAGCCAGCCTTTGGGGAAACAGCAGGGCTTCAAGCACAGGAGGAAAAACCCTCCCAGAGCAGACAGAGGAGGGGCAAGAAAGGAGATAAAGTGTGAGAGGTAGATTGAGAGGGGAGAGGGAACAAAGACAGAGAGCACCAAAACCAGGATGGGAGCTCCTGCGCTGGCTGCACGCTGTCCTGCTGCCAGCATCCACAGAGGTGACATGTGGAGGCAAAGCAAAAGGTGTTTCACCTCTGTAAGGAACAGAATAGGGCGATTCCAATAGCAGGGAGTAATGCTGCAGTGTTACCTTTCTGAGGCCACTGGAAAAAAGCCAGCCAGGAGGATAAAGATGAAATGAGTTCGCTAGTGCTGACCCCACTGACCCCTCAGAAAACAGCTCTAAGTCAAAGTGACGAAGCTTGCTCTGCTCAGCTGAGCAGAGGATTCAACACAACAGCCCCAGACAAGGAGACGAGGGAGTGTCACTCAACAACAGAAAAAAAAAAAATCTGAAGACTATCTGCCATCTTTCTCACAAAGTGCTGTGAATAAGAGCAGTTTCACAATTCTAAATAATTCTAAAAGAACCCCAATGTGTTTTCTACATTGGTTGACCAAGAGGGAAAAAAAAAAAGCTTCATCCCTTTGCCACAAAGCAAGTCACCTCTCCACGGGACAGGGCAGCTATTTAAAAGCTCCCAACTGGCCTACTGAACAGGACTAGAAATGAAAGAGGAAATAAGTCATTTTTGTGTCCAGCTGAAATGAGAAGAGGGATTTGGGGAGCTGAAATGGAATCCGGCTGTGACTGAGTCAAACAGCCTTTAAAAATTTTTTGCTTTTTAATTAGTAACAAGCAAACCTCAATTTCTCTCCAAGGAAACACACAATCATCCCTTAAGATGTCATCACATCAGCTTGATCTGTAGAGGAGCTGGAGTGCTCTTCAGTTTACCCAATAGAAGGTTGGTTTTACCTCTCCTTCCTGAGTGTTGTGGCTACTCCACAGTGCCATGGAGGCAGGATCAGCCTGCTGAAGAGAAGAACATTTGCCTGGGGCACACTTTGACTTACCTGTCTGTCACCACCAACTAGCAGAGCCTGCAGACCCCACCAAAGCACACTTGCACAATGGGTACCAGGGAGGGAGGTCAGAGCACGGTGGTATTGCCAACAAAGCCGCCACAAGAATGTCCATCTGGCCCTGCTACCGTTGACCTTCCTTTCAAGCCCACCCCACAGGCAGGAGCTACCCATCAATGTTATTTCCTAGGAGAGCTGGGTCAGGAATGGGTCATTTACTGATAATCGGTTAGGACAGAAACACAATGACCAGATGAGGGAAGCATCTGCCAGGGATATTCCCTCCCCCAGACCACTGTGCCTGGAAAGGCCAGGGAGCAAGGCCCAAGGGCAGAGAGGAGAGAGGCCCCAGGGCAGAACGGTCAACGGCACAAACCACTTCCAGAACATAACAAAATGCAGGGTAATTTAAATAACAAAAAAGGATCCCAGCCACGGCCAGTGGAGGAAGAGATGGCAATGTTGTTTGACTGAGGGATGTCCAAGCTGATTCCCACACAGTCACCTGGAGCCTCTGCACTCCAAACCTTCAACAACTTGCACAGGGAAGCATATGGGATGACTGTGTATCAAAGCAAGTTCTCACACAGAGCCTTACTGCTGCTCTCCCACACTGCACTAGACTACTTACACATCCAGCCATGGCCCTAATCTCAGAGATCATTTCCAATTAGGGCTTCAGAAAACAAGATCAGACTGCCATCCTCCTCTGGTACTGCCAGCAAGCAGGTCCCTTACTGAGTGTCCCTCTAAAACCATCCACCTTCCTGTGTCTCCAGCATGTTTTAGAAAGCAATAGGAAAAGCACATGGTCTGCAAGGGAGCACATACACAAGAGCGACAAGGCATTACAGAAGAAGCCCTTGCAATGGGACAGCTCTTTAGAGGGATATTGTGCCAGCATCTTTAAGCTTTTACAGCTCCTTAGAGCAAGAATAATGAGAGCTCCAACACCCAGCTGCAGGGAGAGCGTGACTGCACGTACTGGGTGGGCACTACCTCACAAAGAACTGCCAACATCTGCTCCCTCAGTATTTCAGCAGAGAACATCCACAGCACACAGGTCCAGGTATATCCATGGGAAACAGCACAGCACTGCCAGGGGATGCACCTGGTTTTGCAGATAATTGCAGATGTGCCCTTTGTCAGCACTGGGGCCTGGTGTCCAGGGGTGCTGGGCATCCTCATCCCAGCGCCGAGATGTGTCTGGTCTCCCGTCCTTAGGATCTGTAACATCTGGACTGCTCTAAACACCTCCACCCATTTACACACAAGAGACTCCATGCAAGCAGGTCACAGACACTCCAACATGCCTGCCTGTCCTCCCCACTCTGCTCAGCCATTCATGATGGGAGTCACAATCTCACTTGGTTTCAGCCTCCCAGCCTGTTTGCCTTCACTCCCTCCCCAGATTGTCTCGTAGCCTTCACACCTCCCTCCTCTGCTGCCGCGGCGTCTGCTCTCCTCCACAATTCTTGCTATTGACAATGGCAGCTCCCAGCTCGGGGCCAGAGGAGATGCAGCCCCTGGGAAAACAGCATCGGGTAGACAGTTCTACACAGCAGAAGTGAATTTTCTTTCCTCAGTTATCTTTCATAGGCCTCTTCAAACAGCCCACAGACCTCCAGGGGTTAACAGACCACGGGATGAAAGCCACTAATCTAAGAGAAAAACCACAGCCCACAGACTTCTTTGCCCTCTTGCAGGTCCAAAGCATTTCATCTGTCTTGTCAGATGGACTGTGCTTCCTCTTCTCACTGTCCCAGCCTGGACTATGTACCCCACAGTGCCCACTCTGATTTCCAGCACACAAATAAAGGCTCATGCCTGCTTCTTCTGCAAAGCCCCCCTGCCCAGGCAGAGCAGGCAATACCTCAGGTGCCCGAGGGACTTCCCTTGAGAGGTGGTCGCCCCTCAAAATGTAACTTAAACCTTTTACATCCCAAAAGGTCTTTAAATCCCCTGGTACAACACTGAGCACAAAATGGTTACTCTCCACTCCAGCCCCTGCAGCAGAGCAATGACAACCACCCTGCCACACATTGCACCCTTGAGAGGGTCCACTCCCCAGCCTCATGTATCCTAGGCAAAAAAAAAGCTCATGCAAAGGTTTGGTGGTCCCAGGGCACATATATTGGTTCTGAGTACCTTCACAACACCAGGCAGGACAAGAAGGGCCATGGTTGCAGTTGGCACATAGAGGGAGGGCTGCAAAGCTGGTTTTCCAACACTAATAAATTGACCCCAGCCAATAATGTACATACAAAGCCTGGTAACCACAACAGGGCTTCACCAGGCACAGGTACAGTCAGGGACTGATCTGAGCCCCAGCAGGATGCACCTTCCTTGCCAGAATCCCTGGCTCTCTGAACAAACCAACACGTGTGTTTTCTTGCCCTTGGTGCAGGCTGTGCTCATGTGGCTGACAAACAGCCTCTCTCCATTCTTTTGAGGTTGCATGTTTCAATAGTGCCCTGGTTTCGACAAACAGCCAGCGAGAATGAGGAGCCAGCCGACCCAAGCACCAGCTGTGAGCTGTGATGCACCCTCCTCCAGCCCCTCTGCCCCGGCCCTGCAGCGGGGCTGTCAGTGCTGCTGATTGCCCAGGTACCCACAAAATGCCACATCTTCTACCCGTGCAGAGTGAGTGAAAAAACTTCTGTGCACTCTGATCTGCTGCTCGTCGCCAGCAGCTTCCCCTTGAGGGCTTAATGTGGTTATTTCTACCCCTGATGCCTGTAATTAAATGAACATTTCCTTATGGCAGTGAGGCAGCCAAGGAAAAACTGACTACGGGGAATTTTCATTCATCCTGATCTATACTCCCTCATCTCTGGCTTGTTCACACAATGCTAACAAGACATCTTCTAAGCAGGCAGAAAGAAAAAAAAAAAAGCCCTTAAACAGCCCACATGCAGACAACCACCTGGGGAGACAAAAAGAGGAAGGAGACCAATTCCCTCCTTCTCCCCCTGCATCATTTTTCTACTTGGAAAAACAAAGGGGCTTGGATACCCTGGAGCCTGGGGAGATGTTTCCACACTCTGCCAACAGACTTGTGCTGCCCAGCAGTCTGATGGGACCCTGATGAGGCACATGTCCAATTTCAGCAAATCCTGCAGGTCTATGGAGGCTCCAAGACCAGGGACACATGGGGAACATCACACAAAAAAATGCAGCTCTCTCTCAGGTATTAACTGTTCCTGTCGTGTGGGACTAGAGAAGTGAGGCCAGAGTGCACTGAATTATTTCAGACTGGAACTGATCCTGAACCACTGAGCAAAGCTACTAACCAGAACAGAGCTTGATGTACAAATTCCTAGGAGTCTGCACCTCCACTTCTGACCTCCCATCTAGGTAGGAGCCCAGTTGTCTGAGGACACCTGGCCAACCGAGTCCAGCCCCACAGTGCTGCCACATCCCACCAGGATTACAAATTTCACTAGATTAGAAACTGAGCTGTCCCTGGGAGCTGCTCCTCACCTCCCACCCCTACACCTCTTCCTGCTAGGACAGCAGAGAGGATCACAGGGAAAGCCAAGGACCAAATCCTCTGTATCACCACCAGCTGGACAAGAGTACTAGAAAGTTTCTAGCAGCCTCAGAAGAATAGGAAGCATATCCTCCCCTCAGCACAGCACTACCAGTGGTGGTCCTTTTGGCTGCCACATTTTAAAACCACCATGAGGTTCATCTCCCTCCTGTGCAGAGCAAACACAAGCTATGGGGATGGGGTTAACTCTCGCTGGCAGATTGGCAGGGTAGGATTATGTCAGTTCCCCCCCTCACGTCTTACACTCTTCTCTGGAGGAGGCAGAGGTTTGGCTGAATTTGGGGACAGGGGTTTCCTGCTGAGATGTGGCTGAGGAACCTTTGCCAGCTGTGCCAAAGGTTTTCCCTTAGTTGGACAACCTGCCTGAAGGAAGCCACAGAATTGGCTTCCTCCTCAGCTCTGGAAAGATTTATCGTTTCTGTGCCACAGATTGTTGGCACAAAACCCCAACAGGTTTTCAGATCCATTTTGCTCTTTAAGCTATTGTTAGCAAACCTAAAAGGCTTTATCTCTCCTCTTTAGGGAGCCCCAGACAAGAGAGGTTCACAGCCCATGGACAGAGTGGCTCTACAGATGACACATTCACCCACGAACATTTTCAGGAGACTGGGGTAATAAGAGAGATGTGCCAGGGGACAGGATGTCACTGTATCACAGCCTGGTCGTGCTGGAAGACAGTGACTGGTTGGTAAGTCAGCCCTTCCCTCCCTGTCAGAATGACTCAAGACAAAGACTCCCCCACACTTCAAATGTCCCTGTTCAGAACTCCTGTTCCACACAAACCAGATTTCTGTACAAAGGGATGGATTAGGGAGAAAGAGGACAATCTCAGCCTCATGGGTCTTTGGGGGATCCCTTTGTTGGGAAATTTCCCCAGACTATTTAAAAATAGAAGCAGAGCCTTCATAACTATTCCGAGTATAATTATTCCTGCACTTAATTGCCTTTCCCTGGCACCCTACCTCTCCTCCAAATTTCAAGAGAAGGCTCTTGGGGAATCGCAAAGCAATTTTTGGTGGCCCGTTCTTTGTATCAGTTTCGCGGTAGTTCGCAAAAACACCACGACGCCAGACGAAGCCATCGATACCCAAGCGGGCGGCGTGGGGCAGCGCTGCCGCAGCCGAGGCTGCCCCGGCCGGGCCGGGCCGCGACCGCCCGTCCCTCGCCGCCGGTGCCCCAGGGCGTGCGGGTCCCCGCGGGTCCGTGCCGGCTGCTCCATCTCCGGGGCAGGACCCACGTGGCTGCAGCCCGCCATGCCCGAACACAGGGGCCCTGACAACCCCCGGGGGCCCCGGGGCAGACACCGGCTGCCCCAGAGGGCTCTGATGCCCGGTTGGGGGGCAGTGCCCGGAACACGGGGAGAGCTCCGGGCTGGGAGGCTGGCAGCCGGCGCAAGCCCCGGTACCCGGGCTCAGCGGTGCCTGCGGGGAGCAGAGGGGTGATGGAGAGCTGCCCGCCGCAGAGGTCCCGGCGCCCCGGAGCATCCGACCCACGGTGCACCGCTCTTCCCCGGGGCGGGGGTGAGCACAGCCGCCTCCCGCCGGGGGTCCCGGTGCCCGCGGAGGGGATCGACACCCACCCGCCGCCCAGCCCGCAGGGATGGCAGCGACTCCCGCCGCACCACCCTCACTCACCGGCGGCCAGAAGCATCAGCAACGCCGGGGCCCGGTGCGAGGGCTGCATGGCGGCGGCCGCTGCCCTGCCGCACCGCCTCTTCACGGGGAGCGGGGCCGCCCCGCCGCCCGCCGGGCTCTGCCCCTCGCCGCCGCGCCCGCCCGCCGCCCGGCCCCGCACCGCATCCCGCCGCCCGGCGCCGCCTCCTCCCGCCGCCGCCGCCGCCGCTCCGGGGGCGGGGAACCGGCAGGGGGGTCCGCACTGCCCGCCGGCTGCGCCGACGGAGCGGCGGGGCAGGGGCGGAGCGCAGCCCTTGCTTTGCTCCTAATTTCTGGCTGCGGAGCCCCCCCGGGGCCGGAGCCCCCCGGCCGCACGGCCCCGCACGCCGCCCCCGGTGCCCACAACGAGTGCCGGCGGCGCGGCTGCTTGCGCCGGGCGGGGGTGATCAGCCCCGCCGGCGGCAGGGACACAGCCCCCGCAAGGCAGCTCCCTGGAAGCCGCGACGGCCCCCAAAGCAGAGACCCTCCGCATCCGCCTGCTGACCTTTAGCTGTCCACGGCTGACGGAGCCACTGCTTCTCCCTCACCCCTCAGCTCCCACTTCATTTAATCACCTGGAAAAAGTTCTCCCGCTGGGAAAATTCGTTTCCCCACCTCTGGAGGCCATCAGGTCCAAGCCCCTGCTCAGTGGGTCACCCACAGCCAGTTTCCTAGGATCGTGACCAGATGGCTTTTGAGTGTGCCCGAGGTTGGAGACACTCTCTGGGCAACTGTGCCACTTCTCAGTCATCCTTGCAGTAAAAATGTGTTTCCTGATGTTCAGAAAGAACCTCTAGTGTTTCGGTTTGTGCCCATTGCCTCTGGCCCTGTCACTGGGCACCACTGGAAGGAAAAGAGGCCCTGGATGCCATCAGTATCTTTGTGGTAAAGGCACATCACTGGCTCACATTTTATGTGGTGTTGCCATGACCTCCCGCCTAGCAAGCTGGTTCCCAGATGGGTGGCCCCAGCATGTACTGGTGCATGAGATTGTTCCTCCCCAGGTGCAGCCCTTTGAAAGCCTTGTTGAACTGCAGGAGGTTCCTGTCAGCCCACTTCTCCAGCCTGTCAAGGTCCCTCTGGATGGAAGTTTGACTCTCTGGTTTATCAGGCAGATAAAGATATGCAGCTCTTCCCAGTTTTGTGTTGGGATCCTGAGCTCCACCATCTCACGGTCACTGCAGCCAAGGCTGCCTTTGACCTTCACAGCCCCAACAAGCCTTTCACTGCTGCCTAGCAGGAGATCCAGCAGAACATCTCTTCTTGTTGGTTCCTTTATCACTCAACGCATCTTGAGGCTTGGGTCCTGTATCTGTTTTCTGAAGCTGGGTCCGTGTTGGAGCCTCTCCCCTAGCAGGGACAGCTGCTTCGACACCTGCTGGGAAAACCATTCCACGGTGTGTCACCACCATGCCCAAGACTGTCGCAGTGATACCAAGTCAGCTGATGTCCCCTTTTTCATGCCCTTCTGTGCAAACTGCTGTGTCTATAAAAAAAAAAATAAATCTGTATTGCAGCAGTTCTTGGGTACAAGCTCTTGGAGCAGTTCTGGTGGATAGCACAGCAAAGGAACACGCCGAAAATCATTATTACAGCAACAAGACCAACTGCTCCAATTACACTAAATTTCAAATTAAACACATCTTTAGCGGCCTCAGGGCACAACATTACAGTAAATGACTCAAGCAAGGGCTTTGTCAGACAGGTGCCCAAGAAATAAGGCTCAACAGATCCTGTAATACCACAGCAGTTGTGAGGGAACACGTGCCAGCTCGCTGCACTTCAACCCCTCCTGCCAGCTGGATGGGCTACAGCCATCCCACTCCCCTCCTGCAGGCCTACAGCATGTGGGAAAAGCTGTGCAACTCTTGGTTCAAGGCTGCAAATATGATAGGACTCCAAACCAAAGGTGCCAAAAGCATATTGGTCCCTTCTCACTAGGCACTCAGCTCATGTTTTCAAATTTTCCTCAGCAGTGGCTAGGAACTTTTCTCTTTGGTTTCCAAACAACTTTCTCATCACAGATTCTAGGGGGGCAGGGGATGCTAAAATCCAACATTGCAAGTTCTGACAGAGGAAACAGCTGTACTGTCACAGCCTCACCAAATGTCTTTGTGCTTTGTGTTTGTACCATGTGCCTGGTACTTTGCCTCTCCCACACAGCATGTCACTGAGACAGCAGGACATAGGTCTGAAGGTGATCAGGATTTTAAATTCAAGCATTCTTATTCCTCAAGTAAGTGTTCATTAAATACACTCCAGAGCCTTTATTTCCCTGCAATAAATTGATTTTTTTTGTTGTTGTTGTTTGAAGAGTGAATCTCCTGAAGGAAAAATTGATGGTATTTTTTTTTCTGTCATGAACTTGCTGTTTTTCAGCAACTAGAGAAAGGTGTCAATGTGCCATAACCTGCTGAACTCTGTAATGAATCAGGCAGCTGCCTGAGGGTACTTGGTATTATTGATACTGACCTTTACAGCTCCTACCAGGCTGGTGCTGGCACAGGTCACCCCTCTGGGCAATTTCCAGCCTCTTTTTGCCAGCTCTTTCTTTCCATCATCTGCTCCGGTGCTGCAACTTTCCCCAGCATGACCAGGGCAGGTAAGACACTGGCTGCACCCCTTCCCCAGCGTGGCAAGGCAAAGCTGACAGGCTTGGAACAAAATGCTTGCTTTTGGCTTCTTTTAGACCACATCCATCCAGGGCTCTGAAAGTCCTTTTTATCGCAGAATTAATGCAGCCCCCAACCCCCACCAAGCAGGAAATGCAGCAGGAACTACCAAGCTGTCGCTTACCCATTAGATGAGATAAAAACACTTTAGTGCACTCGGATTCTAGCCCAAGCATGGCATTTAATGAATGCTCTTGTCATTTTTCACTTTGTTGCTGGTAATTTGGCTGTCTTTGCATGCAGGTGGCTTACTACAAGTGGGTAACTAAAAGCCTTTCAGATCTCCTGACCCTGCCACATCCAGCTCCCAAATCTCAGAAGCTCATGGTGCTCCCTGGATTTATTTTGACGTTATACATCAATCTCAGACTGAGCAACAAAGGGGGAGTATGAAAGGAGAAGATACATCTTAGGCAAGAAAATTAAATAAAATTAGTGGCAACATCGATCAGCCAGGTCAGCGGTGCCCGTGGAGCAGAAAACAGCCGGCAGAGATGGGCAGCACCAACTTCAACCCAGCCCCTGCATCTCCATTTCATGCTCCCTGGAATAGGTGCAGCTGGCTTGGCTTTCTTCTGAGGCATTGACAGCTTTATAGTCAAAGGCTTGTCATTTCTCATTTGATCTCCCTCCAGCCTCCCTATCTGGTGTATATTCTCATACAATGTTCAGAGCACTGGTAAAAGAGGCTTTACAATTGCACTAAATGCTTTTTTTATAGCTGTTTCAAAGCTGTTCAGAAATTTTTCTTGGTATTACCATTATCTGTGATTTTCTGTTCTTCCCCAGAATTGTTCAATTTCACAGTTACGTCTGTTAGGCAGAATCAGAAAGCAAGTGTGTATTTTAGGCTGGCAAAACTGAAAATCCTTCTGCTGTCTCCCCCTGTGAGTTACTCTAACAGCTTTTGCCTTCAGGAAATTCAACCAGCTTTCCCATTTCAGTGTAAAGGTCATATTTTCTTCCAAGATGCCTACAAACAAATACTACTAAGGTAGAGGAATGAGGTGATAGCTAAGGGAAAGAATTTGGTGCCTAAGACTTGTCAATTAAAAAGAAACTAACCACGAAGTCTAATCTCAAGAGAAATTTGACTTATTTTGAAACTCTACTTGAAAAAAAAAGCAGCAACTCATTAACTTGAAATATGCTGGTGAGATGTTTTATTCCCCTAAATACAGCAAAACTGAGTTCACCTACAAAGGTGAAAGTGATCTATTGCCTGTGCTCAGCAGAGCAAGAAAGTAAACAATAAGCAAAACAAATAAACAGTCAGTTGTTAAGTTCTCACAGTGTTAGAAAATGCAAGATGTCACCAGTACCAGGAAAAGGGTTTAACCCCTCTTTCTTTGCCCACAGACACTTGTCAGGGCAACCAAAGGTGATCTGTGCCCATTCTTAGATCAGAAGGAAAAAATGGGCTGCTCCCACTACCTTGATTGCCTGCTCTTTGGGACAGAGGCTGGGTGATACAGCAGGCTTGTGGCACACCATGCAGTTTAACACAATGTCTATCAAGCTATGCAGGCTTTTGGCATCTCATCCCTCCAGAAAATTCCCTGCCTTGTCCAGCCCCTCCTTCATTAGGCACAAGGAAAGATTTAACCTCTCTCTTTTCCCAGAATATGTGAATTTACTTCAGAGCCTCCGACAAGCTTTATATAAGCTCATTTGCTGACTTAGCCTTTTTAATTCTGGGACACCGTGAAACATTTTGACAGTACCAAGCAGGGACGGGTACCCACTCTCTTCCTGCACAGCCCAGGCATGCAGCCATTCTCTGGGCAAAACACACAGTTCCTGCTCTCATCCAAAATCCTGCTGGGGAAGAACTACAATAAACACACAGAGGAGTGACCTGGAGCAACTAATGCCTTCCAGGATAGGCTGCAATTAGAAGGGAAGATATTCTGCTTTGTTTAGAGCCCCAGCAAGATTTTCTATATGTTTGAGCCTTTTTCATCTTTGCATTAGCTTGTTCCCCTTAAGGGACAGCACACTGCCCACCTGGACACAGTGCTGCTACCAGCCCTGCTTCTTTCCCTTCCCCTGTTGTGAAGTGCAGGGGAAGAACAAGCACAAGTTGTGCTTTACTTTCCCTGTTTCCACATGTCCCATCCCTAAAGGTTTGTGTTTCTCTCCTCACCAAAGCAGAGCTGATTGCTGCGTTAATATCCACTCTGACAGCAAACCTCAGCAGATTCCTAGAGGGCAAAGCAAAAGAGAGCTATATTGAATTTGATTAAAAGGCCAGAAAAACCTTTAACAGAGTCACCTGGGGCAAGGAGGCAGGTAGTTCTCTAGCTGAAATCTCACACAGGATTCCTCAGAGCCCAGGGTTCCTCGCTCAGGGGAATGGCAACCAGGTCACATTGCTCGGTCACAGCTGGCGTGCAGAGGGATGGTCAGAGCCCTCCATTTACACAATGGGGACTTCTGAGCCCCCAGCCAGGAAGGAGGAAGGAGTACATATATTTGGGGCCATTAATATAATTTAATCTGGTCCTCTGTATAATTTAGAGAGCTCCTTTATCTCTGTGTTGAGCTTATCAACTCAGACAGTAAGCAAATTACTTTCTGGGACAGATGAAAACTCTACAGAAGTGGAGATGTCAGGAGGGCAGCAAGCCTCAGCTCTTCTAAAGCTTTTGACTGGGGCAGAAGGACAAGCAAGATAAAGCCCAGTAAAGCCAAGGGGTTGATGACAAGGCACAGGAGGTTTAGTCTTAGCTCTGCCTGTTTTAGAGATATGACCAGAGCCTGAAGAAGTTGCTGTCAAACCCTCATTCTCCCAGGTTTGAGGAGCACACATCAGGCAGCTAAGCACAGCAGCCAGCAG